GGGACAAGCTTCCTCCTCTAAGTTCAAGCAATCTTGACGGTGTCAAGATCTCTAGTTTCACCTTTGCCAGCCTGGAGTCCTCTGCATGACAACACTCAGCATCCTCCAGCCAGTGTGGTCCAACATGTCTAGCTCAATATTGATGGGCTCTGACTGGTAGCAGCTCCTGAGGACTTTCTAGTAAGATTCTTGCCTAACCTTACCTGGAGAAGTAGGGGCTTGAACCAGAGACCTTCTGTGTGCCAAGCAGGTGCCCTACCCCTGAGCCATGGCTATTCAGTGAAAGTCACCCCAGATGCGGCGTGCCCTTCCTAGACAAAAGGGGTCGAACACTTCCCTGAGACTGTTGGGAGGCCTTAATACAACCTGCCTTCAGCATGCTTTCTTTGAAATAATTATTTCTTCTTTCGCTTCTTGTCTCTTCCATGCCAAAGCAAAATTTGCCCTCATATTCTTTTATGAGTTCCCCAATCACCTGCTCCCCAGCCAAATTTCCTACCCCAAATCTCTCCCCATTAGAGATGCTGCTCTTGGGTCATTTCCAGCTCCAAACGTTGCTTCTGACCCTTCAGGCAGGGGCAGACAGGCAAGTTTCACCCACTTCAGCTCCTCTGTGAGCTGCCCCATGCCCCAGAGCAATGGTTTGCCCAGCTGCCCAATTCAGCAGTGGCAAAAAGGGTATTTGAAGTGGGGAATGAGGCTATGTGGGAATGCAAGAGTGAATCTGAGCTGGCGCAGAAATGAAATGTTGTCCTCGCAGTGCTCTGAAGCATATGGGCAGGTTGGTTTTCCGTCTCGTCGCTGCAGCCAAACTGGGCCTTGCGGAGCTCCTCCAAAGCCAGTGGGCTGCACTCCCCCGACTCTTCCTTCCCTTTTTCCGTCCACGGAAGCAGCAGCGCCAAGCTCCAGGGCCTTGACTAGCGTTGGCACAGAGGTGCTTGCCAAGCACCCGCAGTCCAGCCAAGACCCCCACTGGAGACCGGCCTGGAGACCTTGCAGGAGCTGTCCGTGGTGCTGAGCTAGGCTAGGGGTGGGCTTCGGAGTGAGAAATCCCATGCGCCCTTCGCAGGCACCAAGGCAGCCACCACGCAAACCATGCTTAGCAGGGGGCAGGCTCCGCTGCTGATGGAAAGTGCAGCCGCCGAGCCCCAGAGCTGGGGGTCCAGGGAGCTCTGTGTCTGATCCGTGACGCGGGGCCAATGCGTGTGGCTACCAGAGCTTTCCGGCCCACTCTTTCTAGGTGGCGTCCGTTCTTCCCAGGCAAGGAAGAGGCCAGTGCGTGAAGACGCCATATAAAAAGGCGGCCCTTTGGGGGGCCCCCTCCCCACTCCTTGCAGTGACTGTGGCATTGCTTCCACATCAGAGCCGTTTACCTGCAAAGGGATTGGGCTGCTGCTGCAAAGGCCTATTGCCTATTTTGTGGCCAAGATCCTTTCCCCAGTCCAGTACCCGCCAGATGCGTTGGGCTTCAGTTCCCAGTGGCTCCCAGCCAGAAGTCTTCCCACACACCTGGAGGGTGTCAGACTAGGGAAAGCTGTTTCCTAATGTTGCGTGCGAGAGTCCCCCCCTGCAGCTTGCACCATGCTTTTCCTCAATGGGCACTTTGCCTTTCGCATATTAACACTTTTATTCAGTTGTTACCGTTTTGGTAAAAATCCTATTAAGAGCCCACACACGTATTTAAAATAATAGTAAAACTAGTTTTAAAAGGCAGAAGATGCAATAATCACGCTGTTCTTGAGTGGGGAGTGTCAGGTGCCAACTGTGCAAACTTGACTGTAGACTCCTTGGGGCAGGGACTTCTAGGCCATTTTGTTGTATATTACATATGCTTCAGCACCTCTGATACTCGGTGTATTTGGCAGCAGGTGAAATCTTCCCCATCTCATATTCCCAAAGCAGCTCACTTCTGTCCTCATGGTAGATCTTTAAAAACACGCCCCCCCCCTCCAAAAAATGTTTTCGCCCAACAGAGGCAAAGGCGCCTGGGGAAGAAAGCAGGGACGGGATCAGGAAAGCAGCCAAGAGGGGCATGGCCCCATCCATTCCCCCTCCACTGTGGGGTCCCCCGGCATCTGTGCAGTGGAATTCCACTCCAAAGGCTTAAGGAAATTAAGAGCTTTAAGCTCAACTAAGGTGGCATTTTTGGCCTGGCTCTTCTTGCGTCAAGGCCCACCCACCAGTCCTGGAACGCCACTGAGACTTGTCTGAAATAAAATCCAGGAGGAGGTCTGAGAGAGGTTCCGCGCCGTGCATGAGCGGGATTGGCAGTATCACGCAGGATCAGGCCTCTTCCCCCGTTCCTTTGTGGTGAAGCAAATGCTTCCTATCAGCGCTGACTTCCAGCGTGATCTCTGCGAGGACTCCCCGAGAACGCTGAACCCTCCCAACAAGCTGGCCCCCGTCTTCTGGACTAGCAAGGCAGCCAAGACTGGATTCTCCGGCCACAGAAGACACAGCCCTCCTCATTTGCAACGATCGGCGGGGATTTTATTAGTGAAAATACCAGTGCTAGGACCAGCAGCGTTTGTAGAAAAATAAACTGATGAGCAGCGGTCCTGTTGCATACAAAGATTTGTTCAAATTCGCCACAGCAGACGCTGGAATACAAAGGGGAAGAAACCGCCTGGAAGCAAGCATTCCATCTCACGCAGGAAACTGGGCTGGTTTGCACTTTTTGGGTGGTCCCTGCCAACAAGGGCTTTGTTCAACGGCACCCACACACTCTGGCGCTCCATTCTGATTCAAAAGGAGGTGCCGAGAGTCCCCAGGGCAGTACCTGGAGTCTCCCATTTTCCCCCCAAATTATTTAATGTCTCCTCTTTTACACAGACCAAGATGGATTTGTGCGAAATGTTTACAACATCCTAGCAATTACACAAAAGGTTAAAAAGGCAGGTTCAATTTTTGGGTAAGTATCCATTCAAAGGTGGTGTCTATTTGCAAATATTTCAAGGTCATCAATCTGTTACGGAAGGTGAGCATCACTCTACCAATGTAGTCACTGCCAGTCCTCTTCCTGTCACACGTGCACAAAACATTCATTTACACTGATTATTTGTTAATTTCCACGAAACAGGTAAATAATTTTAAAGAGTATGTATGTCAGTGAATATTAAAGACCGTTCGGTAGGACATGGATTGATAACCTCCTTCCAAAATGATGCCACTGCTGGACATTGCCAAAACATGTTTCAAAACCATCTTTGCTATTTTCCACTGCTCACACTCCCTTATCAAAGGGAGACCCTCCCTTATCAAAGAGACACTGCTGTGCCCGACATGCACAAAGCAAACTCTTGCTGAGTAAGACCAAGCCCAAGGCCTGCAGGTGCAACAGGGGAGCACAAAGCAGCGAGCTGCTCGCATGCCTTGTTGTCGGTGCCCAGATCACTTTTGCACTTTCCCCCAGGCCAGAGATGCCAACCCACCAGGTACTCCTGAAGACTCCCCTGCATGTCACCACGGCCCTGTTTCTCCACCACGGTGGGCTTAGAAATTAGTTGTTCTACCGACAAGCTTCCTGGCCTGGCCCCCTTCTCTCTGTGGGTGATTTGTGGCACTCCTAGTGTTTAGATCCACAGCTCTCGGCAGCCCAGCGTGGCCCAGCCAACGGTGTGGGACCCTGGGAGATGGGGCCCCAAGCCACTCACCTGCCTTCAGCTGATGGGGGGATGCTCTTTATGTCCACTAAGGCCAGGTGTGAAGCCACCAGGAAAAAACTAGCAAATTCCAACCTTGGGAAGTGGGGGAGGAGGAGTTGTCAAAATCAAAGGACAGAAGGGCAGAGAAAAGAGCAGAATACTACAGAAACATTTGGGGTGGGGAGGAAGGGAAAATTCCAAGTGTTGCGCCAACTGGAAGCCCTGGAAAGCCGCAGCTAAGCAGCTGGCCATGCATCCTGGCCCACCCATCCTGACGGCTGGACAAAAGCTTCTCAGCTATTTATCCACTGCCGTGTGTGAACCCAAGGAATCTCCATGCCCAGGTTTAGACAGGGAGGGATATTTTGAAACAAACAATTCTGCTTTTTGTGTTCAGAGAGTGGAATCTAGCACTGACCAAGGGGGCTGTATCTTCCCTGCCCTACAGCCCCCAAAATCTACTCCCAAGGGGTACCCCAAACCTCCAGAGATTCTGAAGACATGAGATGGGGTGAGTGGGTGGGGCAGGGAAGCTGAACCAACTCCCAGTTCTATCCATGAGAGCAATGTGGGCAAGAGAGAGTCAGTCCCCTGAAGTCCTTGTGCCCTACAGTTTCCAGAACACATCTGAATGGGCTCTCATGCCTTCCCTGGCAGGCTGGAAAGCTCCAAGAAAGTTCTGGGGACAGCACAGGACTTCTGAGAAAGCAGCTCAGGAATCTGCACATGAGGACAATGGCGGAGTGATGTGGGCTGTGAGACTGGTCCCCGGGGGGGGGGGGGGCAATTTGCCCAGGCACTTGTGGGACCCCAAGAGTGATCCAAGCCCTTCACAGGGAGCGCCATCTACAGAGCAAACAGTGTCCCTGGCCACACGCAACGAGGCATCCGGGCCGAATACATGAATGACGAGAAGAATTAACTCAACAGATTGTCACAGCACCTCTCCCGCAAGACAAGTGCTTGGGATATTTCACAGGGAAACCGCACGATTAAACAACAACGAACCGTCATTTTCCCCAGTGCTCAGGAACTAATTTTTGTAGCATTTGTTGGCCTTGACCAACCACGACTTCACTCGCAGATAAAGGGCACACCGAGGAACGGCCAGCGTCTGTGGAAATGCACTTCACATCCATCCCAGTCAGGTATATGAGGTAGCAATGGAAAATGTGTCTTTTTGCGCAGGCTCTGCTGTCATCCAAACACAGCACTGAGAAGAATCCAGGGTGCTTCTTGCCAGAAGGAAGAGTCTAACATGAACTGTTTTCCAGCTTTCACATTCTGCCATACGGAAAGGGTTTGGTTCATTAAAGTGCATCTCTCTCTGTCTCTCTCTCTCTCTCTCTCTCTCTCTCTCTCTCTCTCTCTCTCTCTCTCTCTCTCTCTCTCAGAAATAAAAATTAACAGAGAAATTTCTTCGGCAGAATCATCCTAGAATAAAATCTATGCAGGATATTTCAGGGAATGTAAAACAACCTCTGTATCACACTTGTCCACTCAGTTCAAACTACCCCACCCTCAACCAATCTAAAAAAAGGAATACCCAGATTGGCACTTAAGGTTACTAAAAACTTGCAAAATCTTGAGACAGGCCTGGCTTCAGTTTCAGTCCCAAAGGCCTGGATGCTTGTTCAACAGCCAAGGTGGATGTGAATGTTTCTAGGCCAAGCGGCGGTGCTGCAGAAGGACTTAACCCTTTCCCTTCCTGCTTATCCCCCTCCCCTATTCTTTGCCCGTAAGAAATTCCATCCAGGAACTTTGCGTGGTGTGCAGCTAGAAACCACTCAGGAATGGGGTAGCCCAGCCTTCCTCTAACCAGGTACCTGACAGCATTGGACTACAACTCCCAGTATCCCCATTGCTGGGTTGGGGGAATACTGAGCCAGAAGGATATGGTTGTGCAAGGGCAGCTTTCCCGGGAGTCGCCGGCTTTTTCTTCGCCCACTCTGGGCACTTCCAGCAGCTAGAGGAAACTTGGAGATCAGCTTCGGCCGGCAGGGAAGCGCTCTGGAGCGGGCCTCAGTGGAGGGGCCCAAGGAACGCTCCAGGTGGGCTTCCAAATCGGAGGCAAAGCTAAAGGGTGGCCAACACCCGCAAGAAGGAAATGACCACCACGCAGAAGCTCTGTCCCACGCCCAACGTCAGGGCTTCGAAGGGGATCATCTCCTTCCCAGCAGCTCTGTACACTCCAGCAATGGCAGCACCTGTAGAGGTGGGAGGGGAAAAGGGGGACCTTCACACACAGGTTGCTCACCTGCCACCATTTCTCTGTTCTCAACAGACAACGTATGAGCACAAAGCTGAAGCCCCACTTTGATTAACTCTTCCGGTGACTGAGCTCAGCGGCCAAACGCAACATCCACAAACTGGGCAAAATGGATGCTTGCACTTTAGCGTGTTTGCTTTTACATTTCTTAAAACTCTGCTTTTGCTCCAAGGAGCTCAGGACAGCGTAAATGGTCCCCACCCCCTTTTTATCCTCACAACAATCCAGAGAGGTAGGATAGGATGGTGGGGACGAGGCAGGCCTAAGGTCACTCAGTGAATTTCATGACCACGGGATGTATCGACTTTCAGCCTACAACCGCGATCCCATCCACGTCAAAGGATTTATTCCAAGATGAACCAACACTGGACAGAAAACAGGGTGGAGGGAGGAGCTGAACTTGTGCCATTCTGGGCTGGAAATCTCACAATTACACCACGTGGGCAAGGAGGCGTCCCAAAAGGGGAAGTGGGAAGCCAGGCGCGATGTCACAATGCAGTTAGTTTCAACCAACTGTAGCCAGTGAGGCCCTCGCTGAGCCCTGCGCTCCGTGGGAAAATGAGGACTGTGCGAAGGGGTGGTGGAGGGGCCATATGCGAGGCACAGCGCGCCCATGACCGGCAGCCCCTGCTTTTCTGGAGATCTGGGGAGTGGTGATGAGCGCGCAGTGGCCCCGGGGGGGGGTGTGTTTGGAGCACACAGGCCGTCCCTGAGAGTCGGATCGAGGATCCGCCCTTTGCCCGGCTCTTCTCCACAGGAAGGGCTCCCTTCCACAGGCGAGGGGCAGAGTGGGGATCCCCCACGCATCCCTTGCTCTCCCACAGAGCCCACTGCCTTGGCCATGCCTGGGCACGTGAGGAAGATGGCCCAGAGGCACCCCAGCTCGCGGCTGAGCGGCCGTGCCAAGCAGCCAACCTACTTGTGAGGATGCCGGCGGTGATCGGCCCCACGACGCCCATCAGCAAGATGCTCACCGACATGAACCTGCCGTACTTGTGCTGCCGGAGGGTGAAGAGAGCCAGCAATCCAGCAGGGATGTGGAAGAAGAGCGAGGAGACCACTGCCCACAGGAAGACGCCATACCACATCTCTGTCAGATGAGAGCGAGGAGGAAGCTGCCTGTCAGAGCCCAGTGTCGCTTCCACTAACTGGCCCTGGTGGCTGCCGCCGCCCCCCAGCCCGACTGCCTGCAAAGAGCCACTTTCCTCGCTACAAACAAGGAAGAGTGTTAGGGGATTTCAAAGATCAGCAATACAATTCGCATCGAAGAAAAATCTCCACCACTTTCCGTCCTTCCTCAGAGATGATGATGGTGGTGGTGGTGGTGATTACAGTGCTCCAGTCATCATTTCCTGTTTTCTTTTTACAACAAAAGCATCCATGACAGGTTAAGCCACGCTTTAGAAACAATCCCCGCAACAGTGAAAGCAAAAGTAGGTGCATCAGAAAAAAAGGAGCAGTTGCACGCGCTTTCTCCGGGAAAAATAAAATCGGGTCAGGCTGAAAAGGCTTCTGGCAATGGGAAGGGGGGGGGGGGGGCGTTCATGCATCTGGCCGCTTCAGCCAGCATTCCCCAAGCTGCTGCCCCCTCCCCTCCCCTCCCCTCCCCTCCAGGTGTGCTTGCCCACAGCTCCCGGCGGCCTGTCTCCCGACAAGTGGGACCTGAGCGCAGGTGATTCGAGCATGTGCAGAGTGCGGACTCACCGCGCGGCGGCCTACCTGGGAAGTGGCACAGCGCGGTGGGGCAGGCGGCTCCGGTGACGTTGCCCGACCGCGGCACCAGGCGCAGGCTCAGGATCTGCTGCAGGAGCCCGCCCGCCTCCGGCGGAGCAGCGCCGCCGCCGCCGCCTTCCGCCATTCCACCGCCATCAACGCCGCCGCCATAGAGCAGGAGCGGGCCAGAGCGGCCCCGACTCGGCTGGGGCCGCTCTAGCCTCTCGCGTCTCTATGCTGCAGCCCTTCCCTTCGTTCGTGAAGACCCACGTGCGCAGACTAGTTACGTCCAGCGCCGCGTAGGTTTGAGATAGTTTGTGCAATTTAAAAACAACAGCCGGCCAACGTGACGCATTCGGCTTTTCCCCAGCAGAGGGGCGGCCGCCTGGAAGTCTTGCTGCAAAAGCCCGTTGTTGCCCTCGGAATTTGCGGGACCGTCAGCCTACGCCTGGGCACGAGCCCCTCTGAATGCTATGCAGGGCACTTACTTCCAAGTAGGCACGCCTAGGGTCGCACGGTTAAGCACTGGCACCTGGTGCTCCCCCTTCCCTGGGGATCCTTTTTGATCGGCCCTCCCCACTTCGTGCCCGCCTCCCGCTGTCTTGGAGCATAGCACACATTAACCAAGCAAGCGGGTGGGCGCAGGCTGGTGGGAACTCTGTGGAGCTGTACATGGGATGGAATGTAGTCCAAACCATCTGGAGGAAGAGGCCAGATTGGGAAGGCTTCAGGTGCTTCGCTGTATGATGCACTGTAAACCAGCCACTAAAAAATGTTGCTGTTTTGAAATATTTCGCGTCGGTAAGCACTCGGAATATAACGGAGGTGTGGCGTCTCTAATTCTTATCTCTATGGGTGGTGGCTCAAGCCAGGCTCCACAGGAAGAGAAGGCGGAGTTGGGCCAGGGCAGGAAACGTCGTAGCCCATCGCGAGATTCGGACCGTCCTGGTGCGGACGCAGCCTGGCCATGCCCTTCACGGGCTGCAGCTCCCGTAATGCCTCGCCCCGCCTTCTCCCTAACGGGTGTCATAGAGATACGAAGCTTTAGGGAAGGTCACTTCCGGTATCCAATCGACCGCTACCCCATGCGGGGCAAGAGGAGCGTGACTCCTCACCGCCACGTCTCTAGGGCGCTCGGCCCCGTCTCTTCGCGCCGGTCGCCCCACGCGTTCCACGAGAAATCGCCACAGTTGCCGTGGAGCCCGGGACTCCCCTCGCTGGTAGCCCGCTACGTGCACAGGGCAGAGGCGGGCAGATCTTCTCGCCTGCAACTCCCAAGGTTTCTCCGCGGAGGCCGGCGGCGCCTCCCGCATTCGCGGGGCTCCTCCCTCCTTGCAGCTTTTCCCTGGAGCTTCGCGGCGGCTCCCCGCGGCGCGAAGCCACATCCCCGCGGGCGCTCCGTCCAAGCTCGGAATAAAAGCCGCGAGAGATGAGCACGCGTTCCCAGCGAGTTCGCGCTTTCCCACCGTCCTCCGTGGTTCAGCAGCGAGGCACTCTAGCCGCGGAGGCCGGATGTTCTCTGTGGCTGGGGAAGCACTTCCTGCCGCGGTAGGGGCGCCGCCGCCGCCGCGCGTGAAGCGCCATGTCGGACTCTGAGGAATATTCGTCGGGGGAGGACGAGGATTACCTGCCCTCAGGTGGGTGCCTGGCCGGCCCTCCCTTGCCACCTCCGGGCGGGCGGCGGGCCGCGGGGCGGGGCGAGAGAGGCGCCGGCCTGGCCTGATCGGGCCGAGGCTCCTGCTGCCGAGCGGGGCTACATCCGGGCCACGCCCCGGCGCGTCACGTGACAGCAGCCGGCCCTGTCCGTTGCGCGTCCCGCGGGCGCGCCGTTGCCGAAGCGCGGGGACTGCGGTCGACCTGCTCCCCCGCGCGGGGCGGGGCGGGGCCAGCGGCTTGAAGGGCTCGCTTTCTGCTTGCAGGGAGCTGCCCCTGCAGCCTCAGCGGAGGCGGTGCACTTTCCTGCCTGCGGGGAGAGCGTGGCGCGCCCGCTTTTGACTGGGAGACAGTCCGCATTAGGGCTGGTCTGTTCCTCCGATCTACTCTTAGAGGATGCAGTAGCGTGGGATGCCAGCGTTGGCGTGCGCGGATGTGAAATGCGAGCGACGGAGGCGGAGTGGAGCCGAATCCTTGCCCCGTGGCGATAGGCTTTCCACCCCCGTGCCCCGCACAATACGCTCTTCTGGTCTCGGGGTTCCACGGGTGCTTTTGGTAACCAGAGCTCTGTTGGTGCAGGTGAGGACTACAGCGAAGACGATGTGAGCGAATTAGTAAAAGAGGACGAGGCGGAGGAGGAGGAGAACCCGGCAAGATGCAAGAAGAATGCCAAGGGCCTCACGTGTCGGTAGGCAATAGCTTCAATTTACGCAAGTGAAGGTAACCGAGCAGATAAGTAATCTCCAAAATATGCATATTGGGATGGCCTAGGCAGTGTCAAAATGCTTGTCTTTGGGCAGAAAATCGTGTCGATGGGGAGCAGAATTGTGATGCATGAGAAGCAGAGAGCTTCCTAAATCATCTGCTTTGCAATGGCATCCGTTTGCTTCTGGTTCCGGTTGAGATACTGACCGCTAATGCGATTAAGGAATGTCAGCACGGCCCATTGCGTCTTTGTTTTGATGAGCTATTGATAAGACTGTTAATTCCCTTCCTTATAAAGCTTTCTGCCTCTTTAGGATTAACACTGCAGTTGCTGGGGATTAGAGGGTGTTACTTAACAGTGTAGCAGAGGCAGCGATGGTAACTTATTTACTGAGGCACGTGTGTGGTTTGTGGTGGCTTCATCCTTAGGAACAGGAGCAAGAAAGGCGGCCTCTTAGCAAAAGATGGAAGAAAGCCCCCGCAGGATGATGACAGCGAAGACAGTGATTCAGGAGAAAGTCATAACACGCCTCTAAAAGAAAATGAGAGAAGGGAAAAAGAGGAAGCACTGTGGGCCAGCTTTCTTAGCGATGTGGGCCAGAAACCAAAAGCAGCTGCTACAGCTGAAGCATCCTGCACACAGGAAGGCAAGGTAAGTGAACATGCGTAATCCAGAGACCGCTGTTTGGAAACTGCGCACAAGGATATACCTGATCATTGATGTCTGTCCAAACTAACATCTTGATTTGCCTCTGCAAGTTGGTTGGGCCTTACTTGATTGTAAAGCTTCTTGGGGTAGTGGAGCTGGCGCAAAGGTCTCCCTTTGTGGGCATTTGCTGGTGATATTTTTTGAGCTACTTGGCTTGTGGGCAAGGTAGCAAGTTGGCTGATTTTCCTTTCTGCTGGGAGGGGAGCCCCTCAGCCTTGGATGTTGATATTTCTGGAGATTGCAAGTAGGTAGGCATGCCTAGAGTCGCACTGGCACCTGGATAAAAAGGGCTGTGAGGTGGGGGTTGAAGCAAGCATTTTAAGGCTATTTGACTCTTTCCAGTGAACCTGGAAAGGAATTGCAAAGAGCATCAGTGTGAGTGGGGGCTGGATCTTTGATTTCTCATCATGTTTTGATTAGCCAGCTGAAGAGGAGAACTCTTGCAAGCCTCAGGAAGCAAGAACAGAACCCGGGCAGAGCAAAGTTGCCATCACCCAGGTGTTTGACTTTGCTGGAGAAGAGGTGAGGTGAGTGTGGCTTGTTGCATCGAGAGTGATGAGGACCTGCAGGCAGCGGCTTGTTACCCTTTGGGGGAATCGCAAGTTCTGTTATATGTGCCCCTAAAACTGTGTTTGAAAAATATTTTACTTGATGCTAATTTCATTAAGCTGTTAAACCCTTACTTCTATCCTGATATTAGGAAATGACTTAAAAATAGCTTTGCTTGTGTTTGGTTTTGCTTTAGAATTCCTGCTGCTTTATTTGGGTTAACCTAACCCCCTCCACATTCTCACCAAAGTGGCCCAAACCAACTGGATCTGGGAAGAATCTTTGATGATTTTTCCTTCCCATCAGAACAGATCCAGGAGTGTTGTTCCAGTCACGGAGAGCAGTTCATGTAGGTTGGGCCCCAGCACTGAGGCAAATTCAGAGAGCAGAGTTATCACACCAACTGTTCTTTTTGCTTAAGATGTGGCTTCACCCATCCCAAAATGTCAGACCCTCACCCTTTCTTCAAGGCAGAGCCTTTCCTGCCTTGCTACACTAAAGGGCCCACGTAAGGGGAGTCCTGCCAGCTCAAACCAAGGGCTCATTTAACTCTGCATTCTTCCTTCCAGAGCTGAGAGCGGGACTTAAAGCTTCTCCCCAGCGTCTCTCCCCAGCGTCTAGCCTTCTGCAGCTTGAGAGCAGAGTGGTGGCTGCAGGACGGGGAGGGGCTCAGTGGCGACAGGTCTCGGCTGTTCTCAGAACAGCTAAAGCACATGGGCCCTGGATGGTGGGGAACACCTGGGGGTGGAGAGCTCGACCTGCAGCAAGGAGCCGGTTCAGCGGAGCGCGTGGTCGGATGCTTGGTGTTCTTGCAGCAGACTTATTTCCAAGGCTGGGCACCTACCTTGCCGCCGAGACTTTACTGTGCTCAGCTTATTTTTTTTTATTTTGTTCACTTAAAACGTTTTTTATCCCATTTTTATCCAAAGCAGATTTCAAGGTGGCTTGCAAATGGCTTTCCTGGAGGAAAGACTAGAGAGCATTCAGAGCTCTTGGAAGCAAGCCATGGGGTGCGTGAAAGCGCTGAGGTGGTTCACTGTAACGAGGAGGTCATGGGGCAACAGTGTGTTGACGCTTTTCAGATATTTGGGAAGAGAAAGAATCATTGTTCACCAGGTCCACTGAGAATATTACAGGAAATCCCAAGATTAAAAAAAAACAGGAAGATGGTTTTGGGCTGAGTATTAACCAGAACTTCCCCAAAAAAAGCGTCAGTTGCAGGATGTAATAACCTTTGCAGTTGGATGTTGTGGGCAGTTTTCTGGGAAAAGCAAAGGTGGTATCAGTTAAGAGATATAAACAGTAGATGTTAAATTTAAATGTTGTAAATGGGAGGAGGGAATGGATTAAAAATGAGATAGGCGAAGTAATTGCAAATAGGTAGTTTATACTGCATTTTTAGTTAATGCTATGTTTATTAGCTTGTGAACCACCTTATATGAAAAGATGGTTGAATAAACCTTTAAAGTCACTTGTATCAGCTGTAATAGCTAAGAGTGAAGCATGAATGTTTGGAGGTGTGTCCAGTCTCTTGAATGCTGGAGACAAGCAGGAACAGACAGTGAAACTATGTCTTGCTTGTGAACTACCCAGAAACGACTGGCTGGGCACTTTGAAGAAGGGGGGGGGTGGCCCTTTTGGCTGATTGGCAAGGCTGTTCTGAGGTTTCCAGGCCCGCTCAGTGGCTGCCCCTTCTCTAGCTCAAGAGGAATGCGGAAACCTTGGTGTTTCTTCAGAGCAAAGACACGTGCAGGCCCTTTTCAGGTTCTCACGATACTTCCGAGAGGCTCATAATTGTATCACAGCAGAGCTGTGGGTGGCCAGGAACTGTTTCCCTGGAAAGTGGGTGTCTAGATAGAAGTTCAAGAGGCACGGCACACGCTTGGTTCTGTTGCTGGCATTTTCGGTGAAGAAGGGTCCCAAGGTCCAGAGAGTGGAAGGCGTCTGCCTGCGACCTTGGAGAGCATTTGCCTGCTTTATTTATCTGACACTTTTGTATGCCATCACAATATCCACATGGCTTTCTGGATGGTTTACATAACAAAACCATAACAAAGCATAAAAGCTGAATAAATGAAACAAAGCATCAATACCAATAAACCATAAAATGATACAATATCCCCATCACAGCAGGTCACCAGGTGGCAGTGTACATTGGACTGGATAGATCTTAAGAGATCGCAAAATGCCAGCCAGAATTTTTTAAAAATTAAAACAGTCAGCAATTAAAATGCTCCGCAAATATAAATATGGGAATCTTGGGGGAGCTGGTTCCATAAATGGGGTGCAGAACTGTGGCAGGAGACGATACTGAATTAGAGGAATAACCTAGGTCAGGGCAAGGGTGCTTTGTACATACTTTTCAGGGCAGATCTGGTGCCCGTTTCCTCCAGGAGGATGGCATCATGAGGGCACAGCAGCCATGATGGGCGCCAGGCAGCGTGGACTCCTCGGTGATCCAGCGGTCCTTGCTGGTCGACTGTAGGATTACAGAAGGTCCCCGCACAGCGCCTTGGCAGGAGCTTTGTCTGTTCTTCCCAGCCCGTTTGCGTTCATTGCAAATCTCCGAAGCTCATCGCAGTGGCGACATTTCAGGTTTTCAGCCTTTTTGCTATTTTCTCCTCGGGGCAGAGTCACGAAGGAGGTGGATGCTGCATCCAAAGAAGCACAGCTCTTTCTGAAGCAGCAGGAGCAGAAGCCGGCGGATCCCGCGTCTCACCCTACAGTTTCTGGGTAAGTGCGCGGCTTTCGGGTCACACAGCACCCAGGAATCTGTGGAGGTCGGAGCTTTGCTGAGGAAGGGCCATTCTTCCACCTCTGGAACCAGTGGAGATCTCAGGGCCTTATTCTTGGGTCCCCAAGATTATACTCCTAAGTGGACCATTGTCCTCCTTGCGATATGACAGACGGTGGACCTTCTTCAGCCTTCAGGGAAGTGGGTGGGGCTAAGAGTGTGGGGTGGAGGCCAGGGGGAGCTGTAGGGACAAGCGTGGGAAAGAGCGCGGCTCCAAGAGAGCCGGCACAGGGGCAAGCCCCGATGCAGCAGCTCTCTCAGTGGGCCTGGCAAAAGTCTGCCTCTGTCCTGTGCCCCGCCTGTAAAGGTGAACTGCCTTTCCGGATGTTTCCGTTGGACCGCTGAGCAGCGATGGAGAAGCGGGGTGTAGCCGGGGGCTCCCCATCCCTGGCGTGGGAGGCAGTGGGGGGCAGACAGCCTCTGCAGCGGGAGGGGATTCCACACCCAGGACAGATGTCGGTTCGTTCACTCACTCGTCTCCCCAGGAGAGAGAGTGAGGGACCTGCAGACCTGCCCCCAGTCTCATTAGGGTGGACCTGGGCCCTGAAGGACCTCTTCTGTTGCTCGCCTCTGTCCTCCTCCTCCTCATCCCACCACGTTTGGAAGCTGTACTTGTGCAGAATTGTGGCTGCTGCCGTGAAACTCTCGGAAGCTGGATCACACGCTTTCCTCATAACTTAGGCAGGTTGGGGCCACCGCAGGAAGTGTTCCCAAGGCTGGATAAAGCGCTCGAGCAGTAAACACGTAAGTGGGGCGAAAGCCCTCGACAAGGAAGCACAGTGGTAGAGGGCAGCCCCACAAAACTGCATCCACCGTGCCCAGCATCCGCATCTGTAGTTACAGCCTCATCCGACCTCGCTCCCTCCCAATGTTTTAAAGGACGGGGCCCAGCATTCCTCACCCTCAGCCCTGCTGTTTGGGGCTCATCTGCATTGAAGTCCCAAACATCTGGAGGGCCCCAGGTTGGGGAAGCCTGCTTTATTAAGCCCCATCAAGATGTCACAAAAGAGCGAACGAGCTTTCAAGTCTTCATTAAGCAGGATGTTAAGCAAGAAGGGGGTGGGAGAAGAAAGAAGGGCACAAGCTGTTGCAGTTTCTCACACCTAGACTGACTTGGTTGATCGCTGGGGAACATCAGTTTGCTGGCCCAGCTTGCTTTCTCCCTCTCTTGGCTCAAGCTACTTGGCAGAACTGCCACGGGCTCAGCAGCTGAAAGCTTGCACTCTGGTTTACCGTCGCACCGCTGGGGGGCTGCCTGAGAACCGCTCCTCTGCCTCGGCAGTCTTGCTTGGAGCTCCCTGGCTTCCTTCCCTCCCGTGGCCAGCCAGGCTTCCCTCTGGCCTGCCGCAGCCATGGGGGGAGAGGAAGCTCCAGGGTGTCCTCCCATGACAGGTCCTCCCGCAAGCACAGCGGGGTCTGAGAGCGTGTGGCGGCAAGCCTCCTTTCCAGACGGATCCACTGGCAGGATCCACTCTAGAGCGACACCCGTTTGCGCTGCTCTTTCTGCCTTCGGCACCGAGGGATCCTCGGCCGCTGGTCGGCGGCATGTGGGGCAGGCCCCTCCGTCACCCCACTGCTTTTTTGGCAGCACCCACGTGGTGGGACTGGGATTTCTTTCATACACGCGTATCCCACCTTTCAGTTGGCACGTTTGCAAAGAGGTGGTGTGGCTGAAGCAGAACACTCAAACACTACGAATACTAAAACCGGGGGCAGCTTTAGAGACTATGCTACAAAACTGGAAGCATGCCCTTTGCCTCCCTGCAAATGGTGTTCCCGGAGGACAGAACGGGAAGCCCCGTCGGGTTCCTGGCTCTTTCCATTACGTGACGTGTTCCTTCTGGCCTGTGGGAAGGGAGCCGCTTGCAAGAAGTGCAGGCCTTTTGCTGCAGGCTGCTGAGATGGAAGTGCCATGAACCCCCCACGGAGCATACACCTCCCCGTGTCTGTCTAGGGCACACCACACAATCTGTTGTCGGCAGCCAAGCGGTAAGAGAGATCTGCGTCCGTTCAGTTTTGCTTGAGGTCACGACTTAAGGACTGAAACCAGCATTCCTCAGATCGGCTCCCCCCACCGCAACGTGAAAGAAACGGATCGAGAAGTCTCTGAGGCCCAGGACCAGCCTTCCACAGGATGGACCTGGAAGAGGCCTCTGCGGCTGTGAGGAGGGGAAGCGGGTGGGCCAAGCCCTGCCGGTGGCTGGCAGACGGCTTCCTCCTGCAGGACTCCTTCGAGCCGACCCGCTTTGGAGCCATCTGCTGTCGTGCTTTGACTGTAATTTAAGGACGAAGACGTGGCCCCCGGCTGCGGGGCGGAAGAGTCCTCGGCAGACGTGTGGCGGAAGCACCAGGCGTGCATGACGAACAGGCTCTTCTGGTGCTCGCGGCCAGCAGAGGGTGCTGGGCTGCTCAGCCGTACGGCCGGCGAAAGCGCTCGCCATCCAGGCGGTGTCAGCTCGCCTGCAGATTGCGTGATCGGACCGCCTGCTTCCCGCAGCGCGCCGAGCCCTCCGTCGGGTGACGCGGTCGGTTTCGGCCCCCCTGTGCAGAGGCCTGCTGCTCATTGCCTGCGCGAGGAGAAATGCTCGGGACGGTCTGGGGGGGCATGTGTGGAGGCCGCCCGGCCCCCAACACCAACCTGCCTGTTCGCCTGGGGGTGGTGAAGAGACCCTCCCATGCCTGGGGCCAACACTGCTGAGACCCCCCTGTTTGTATGGAGCATGTGGCACCTTCCATTGCAGGGGGAATATTGCTCGGCTGCGCAGGCTGAGGGCCAGCTCTGGAAGCCGTTTCCAATGGTGTAAGAAGAGGCTGCTGAGCTTTGTAGGAGCGGGGCCTCTTCTGTTCGAGAGCTCCTCCACTCCTGGGGATTGAGGCCTTTCTGCCCTGCGGGACTGTGCCTGGACTCCTTGCGAGGCACAGGCCAGGTGCGGCCCTCCGTGGGCTTGAGCGGCTGTGTCCTGGCAGCGAGGAGGAGGGACTGCCCAGGGAGCATCTGTCCTTCATTAAGCCGCTGTGTGCTTTGTGGAGACCGGGAGCACAGTCGCCAAGCGCCGATCCTGCAAGAACCAGCCAAAGGGGAGCTTGGAGCAGCTCTTGGAAGCATAACTGCAGGCGCTTTCCCCGAAAGCCACAGCGGCCCGCTCGGCAGAGCACTGCATGGGATCGGTCAGGAATTTCTTCGAGTTTGGCCCGAGGATGCGTGCAGAGCAGTCTGTCTTTAACTGGGAAACGGCTGTTGATGCTCCGGGGACTGGGATTCCGTAACCTGCAGGCCGCTCTGCTCTGCTCGCTGGACCAGCACGTGTCCTGCTCAAGCTGCCCCATCTTTAAAGCAAAACAGATGGCCATTTGTTAAACTGCTCCAGCAGTGAAGGTCTTAAGCAGCAGGTGGGAGAAGATGCCGGCAACTTCTTGGAAGGAGTCTCTTCACTGTCCTCAATCCGTGAGAAATAGGTTGGGTGTCACCCGGACCCCTTCGCTAGCTGCGGCGTACCTCCCGTCCGGCTGTGTGTTCTGGTCCGGACCCTCTTCTGGGTGGCTTGATAAAACGGAGGCATCCGCACTTTCGGTTTCTAGTGAAAGCGACAGATTTCTCTCCCTGGTGGTGGTGCCTCTTGATCCTGCAAGGGGACCCCCGGGCAGTGTGGGGCAGGGCCCACCAGAAGGAGAAGCCGCGGGCTTCCCAGTGTCCTTCCGTGGTGTGCATCCCCTAAAATTTGCCAGACCGGCTGTGGTGATGGTGTCCCCTGCCCTGTGGCAAGTCACTCAGAGCATCACCCCTCTGTTGTGGAAGTGGCGTGCAGGGAGTCGCTTCTGGGAGTGGACAGAGGAAAGGGAGTGCCGCGAAGCTGAACGGCGCCCGGCGTCGGAGCACAGCTGCAGTGATGGAATGGCCCCAGGGAGAGCGTCTTGCTTTGGGGGGCCCTTTCTTCAGACACCTCTGGGCGCTCGCTTGGCCGCTTCAGGAGCTGGCATTTGCACTGCTGAGGGCAGAGTGCAGGGGTGCTGTGCGTGCCTGGGGTGGGCCCCAGGAGCCCTCAGCAGGCTGGATGACTGTCCCATGCGTGGCTGCCCATGGGGAGCCCTCTGGGCTGGGGGCAACCGCTCGACTCCCCCAAGGAGAACCTGAGGGCCCTCTCTGCGTAGTGGGAGACACAGCCGCCCCGGTGTTCCCCATTCACTGGGTTCAGTTCATTCATCCGCTCTGCTGTTAAGGCAATTGTTGCCCAGACCGGCTGGCATCGGTTAAAAAAAAAAGGCAGGTCTTCCCAAGAGGCCGGTGTCTGAGGGAGCTGAGTTTCCCAAGGTCACAACAAGACAACGGTGAGGGCGAGGCAGCGGTTTGAAAAGACTTCAGGCCAGGCCGACCTTTCCCCACTGCCCTTTCTTGCTTGAGTAACCACCGGGAGGGCTTTGGCCAACGGAAAGGAGCTGCCTTCTGCAGGCCCGGGGGCCAAACGCTCTTTCGGGCGGTTAGGGGGAGGCAGGGGGCGGGGTCTCCTCAAGGTTCTTGTCCTCTGGCTGATGAGAGAAGCTGGCACGGGCTTCCCTTCCATTCTCCGGGGGACATGCAGGGCCACCAGAGCCTTTGGCCCCATCCACGGCCTTCCTCGGGCACTGCTCCTCCTGCCGCATCCAGCCAGCGCTTCACCTGCCGCAGTCGTACTGCACGGTCGCCATCCTGGCGCCACAGCATCCGCACGCGCTGTGACAGCTTCCTGGAAAGAGCTGGACGAGCCCAGCCCCCGGGTGGCACGGGGCTGCTTCCCACTCACGTGCTTGGGCATGGATCCCAGGGGACAAGATGCACGCAGAGGCACGGGAATGGTGAGCACGCGCACACACGTGTGCCTGGCGACCCAGCCTCTTCCCAAGGCTTGTGCCAACGGGGCCCAGTCTTTTCCTTGGGACCCAGCGCTGCAACATCGCACTGGTCGCCCGGAGAGGTCAGATCGTCGGACTGGATTTGAGGAGAGCCAGGCCGGAATCCACATCCAGCTGCAGCCTTGGGGCAGTTGTTCGTTCTTTTGCCTGACAAGGACCACTGGATTGTTTGACGATAAAACTGCAAGTGGGAGAAACACGCATGTCCAGCTGTGCGTTGGGAAGAACCGTGGGCTGAAAATGGGCTGGAACACTCACCCTTCCGCTCACCTGCGACAGACGCAACTCTGGGCTGCCTTTCAGCAGGCACTGGGTCTGCACTGAACCTCCATCACAGCAGGGCTGGAAAATATTTTACCGGGGTGACTCACTGTCTCCCAGGAAAATGTCCTGGGGTGTCCGCTGGCCCTGGCTTCCCCCCACCTGCCTTAGAGTGCGAGTCATTTCCGCTTTGGCGTCTCCATTGGCAGAAAGGCAGTTATCCCAGGAATGCAGATAAACGGCCATCTCGACGCACCGCTGGTAGTTGGGACAAGCCTGCAGCCACAGTTCCGGGGCTTTGGCGATTGACCAGCTGTGCCCCGGGACTGGGAGGGCATCGCTCTCGCCATTCGAGGGCTGGAACGTCCCACTGAGCCAGTGGCCGTGCGCGGCGGCCGTCCTCCCAGACGAGCTGCACTGCAAGGCAGCCGGGGTTAGAAGAACGGGCAGCGGCCAGTGTGGTGGGGCTCGGCTTTGGTGGCGAAGGCAGAGGAGTGAGCCTTACAATCAGGCCTCTCCAGTGCTGAAATGCTCTCTGTTTTTTAAAAAGGCTGTCAGGGAGCCAGTGCATAGACCTGGGAAGCTGAGGAAGACCCTTGGGAGCCCCCCCCCCAGAGAGTGGGCTTCCTTGGGCAGCGGGCTGGCTGCTGAATGTGGGGCTACGTGGGCCTTTGCCCGGAGCAGCGTGGCTCTGCGCCTCGAGGGCAGTCTCCTTGCGAGCAGGAGAGCCCAAAGTGGTACTTCTCAAAATGTGCAGGCGGCTTTGGGCATTATCCTGCGTGCACATACACGGCAGCTGTTAATCAGAGTGAGGAGTGGGGGGGGGGGTTACTGGCATTTTCTGGCTGGAGAGTTGGCTGAGTGGGCTTGCCATTCGTTTCGTGCTGGCGCAAGAAATTCCCCCCCCCCGTTGGTTAAAATGGGGGCCACAGATACCATGAGTGACTGCACCAAAGAAGTTAATGCTTTATGTTCAAGAGGAGTGCCTTGCTCTCTGGGAGAGCACCAAGCTCATCCCCCGCTCCCCGGTTTGGGGGATGCTGACCATTTGGAGTCAGCCAGGGAGCAGCTGCTGTTGTCCGGCCTGGCCCTCAACAAATGGTGCCCAGTTCTGTCGCATCTTTGTTTAATGGTCCCATTTATATCCCACATTCTCCTTCCAGGAGCTCAAAGCAACATGCAGAATTTCTTTGCATGTTGTGCTCTTAACAGCCCCGCTAGACTGGCCCCAAGCCACCTGGCGAGGCTCAGTCCCACAGTCTCGCCCGGGCTTCTCCCTCAGACAGACAGTGCCACCTTCGCCCCTCGGCAGCCAAGGCACATACGATGTCCCACGCTGTTGGCGTGGCCTGTTTCAGTTGTTGGACTAATTGACCAAAGGGGGCGTAGTCCTGTGGCAGAACACAGTCCCTGGGAATACGCACGGGCATGAAGGAATGTAATAAATGCCGTATTCTTTGTGGGGGGGGGGGCAGTGGGCCTGCACATCCAAGGGGCAAGAGGCCGGGATGGGGAAGAAGCTTCTCCCGCCCCGCCGCCCTCCTGCTGGCAGGGCCGCTGCTTCCAGCGTGCCTTGGTGAGCGTGTGGGCCCTTGGTGTTGAAGCAGACCTGGATCCCATGGGGCTGGGCTCGAAGCGCCCAGCATGTAGCTGCGTTGTCCAGGTGCATCCTGTCCTGAGGAAAAGCGGGAGGCGCTGTGCCTGCAGCCCCCTCCCTCTGCTCCATAACGTTTGCTTTTCCTGCTCGTCTTTGCCGTGCTTCACAGGGTTCAGAACGCTTGGCATGCGTTCTCCCAGCAAGCCTTGTCCGGTGCGCTGGGGCTTCCCTCTTCAGGAGGGTGCTGAAGCGGGTGGGAGGATGGGGTTGCCTAGGAGGATGTGACCCAGGGACCTCCTCGTTTGCCTCTCCGTCTCTCTGCTGGACTCCTGCATTGTCCAGCCTCACGCCCCGCAGGCTGCAGCTCCAGCAGAGCCAGTGTACGGCTGTGGGCGATGGGAGTTGTGGCTCAACAAGGCAAGGGGGCATGAGGTTCAGGAAGGGAGGTGACTGGGGAGAGAAGCACTTTGTGAACGGCCGACTCCGAGGACGAGCTGTTTCCCAAGCGGCTCGAATTTGGTCAGGACCTCGTCTCATTTTCTGCTCTACCTCTTGCCAGGGTGAAGCGGCCGAGTGGCATGAACCACCTGCTGGGCAAAATCACGGCCAAAAAGCAGAAGCTGAGCACGCTGGAGAAATCCAAGCTTGACTGGGAGAGCTTCAAAGAAGAGGAGGGCATCAGCGATGAGCTGGCCATCCATAACAGAGGGAAAGACGGGTACGGGCCCCCTCTCTGCAGCCAGCCCCCCAGCTCGGGGGCCTCTGGAGGGCCTGGGCTGATCCAGCTCAGGAAAGGGGGCTGCGCCTGGCCGTATTTCCGCTGCCAGCGCTCACGTGCTCCTCGCGGTGCCTGGCGCTGACCGCCTCTCTCCTTCCTGCAGGTACCTCGAGAGGCAGGCGTTCCTAGAGCGAGTCGATCACCGGCAGTTTGAGCGTGAGCGGGACATCCGTTTGAGCACCATGAAGCCCTGAGGTGGCAGTGGGGGCGGCAGGGCCCGATCCCCACAGTGCCTCCCACCCGGCCAACCCCAGAAGACTCCACGACCCACACGGGTTTCCTTTTCCACCGCAATTGTGCGTAGGGAACTGAGGTCACCGTGGCAGACGACTGGCCCGCTGACGGGGCTGCCATGCGGGGCTTGTCCGTAGCCGCTTGCCAGGGCTGGGGCTGCAGTGGCCATGTTCCCGGTCTTCGGGCTCCTGGTAGTTAGGACGGGCAAGGCAGACCCCTTGCTCGGAGGGAGCCCCTTGCCTGCTCGCGCCCGCCAGTGGGAGCTGGTTCCACGGGGCCAGCCCTGGGATGGCGGCAGTCGGAGGCGTGCGCAGCTGCTTCATGCCGCGTGAGGACTCCTTCCCAAGGGAAGGCCCCGTGCGGCCCTGCGTCGCACCAACGTCACACCCGTGGCGAGCCACCCCGGAGTTCCCACGCCAGATCTTTGCAAAGCTTCACCCCAGGATTTTGAGAGCACCACCTCCCCACATCGTTCGCGCCATGCTCCGCAGGAACCTCGGCGTGCCGGTGGCGGCGGTGTGTCTGAGGAAGGCCAGCCTTCCCTTGAATAAAGAGCTCTGCCTGTCCTGACGGGTGTGTCGTTCTTCAGGTGCCGAAGGGTGGGCTGGAAGCATCTCGCTCCGAGGTGCCAGCTCCTCCGAAGGGTCCTCCACTTTGCCTGTGGGGGTCGGAGCTGCAGCTGGGGTGTAGGAGGGTCCCTTGGGGTTCCTGCTCTTTCGAGGTCATACCCGTAGGAGGCTTGCCCATGGCTGTGTGTGCCAAGGCACAGCCGTTCAGGGTAGCCAGAAATTTCAGTGGAGGTCAGAATTTGAGGCAGCCCAGCCCCGTCACCTTTGGCTTAGAAAGGGGAGATTTCCTCTAGGTGAAAAGGAGGCTTAGTAGGGAAGCCCAGAGGGGCCAATCTTCCCAGGTAACGTGGGGGTTCCCGAAGACAGCGTGCATGCGTACTGCAGGCCATGAGCCTTGCCCAGCCGGTAGGGTCTTGCTGCTCTCTCGGCTCAAATCCCGGAGAGACCCCCTGGGGGCCTCCTCCCCTTGGGGTGCAAGCCTGTGTACATTTATCAGGAAAAATCACGCCACATCTTCCGACGCCTCAGGTTGCACCTTTAGGCATTCAGTGTTGGTTCACCCTCCCAGCTCTGGCTCAGTATCTGAGCTGACGTTTCTTTTATCAGTGCTTTATTTAAAGATTGCTGTGTTGTTCGTTTTAATGCTCTCTGACGCTGCCTCCTGAGCACACTTGGGGAGAAGCATCTGGGGAAAAGTATAAATAGACGCGCACAACTCTTCCCCGTCCTCCCCCGCTGCCCCGCTCTGAGCCAGCCCAGCTTGGCTTGCAGAAGCGCCATCCCGGCCAGCTCAGAGCGTTTTGCATTCCGCTGCAGCCGCCACGTTGTCGCTGGCTTGTGTGCTCGCACTTGTGCTTTTGCAGCGGCTTGGCAGCATCCTCCAAGAGGTGGGGGTGCCTGCCCTGGGCTGTGAGGCCGCGTCGAGCCGTGCGTGGGGAGACCGGGTTCGGGGGCAGTGGAGAAGGAGAATCTGGCCGCTTCTAGTATGCAATCCCAACCAAAGCCAAAGAAATTTCCACATTCTGGTTCAGCTTTGGCTTTTATCCAGCATGTTTGAGCCAAAATGATGTCAGCTTAATTCATTCCTGTCCAAAATTCAGTGGGGGTTCTACCCCACACAATGTTTGTTTCTGTTGGTTTTTATTGGCTAGTTACCTGTTTTTTCTTAGAAACAGAAATAGGTATAAATACCTCACACCAGTAAATGCCACGCCTGTACATGAGTGAGTGTGTTCAAGAAAGGTCTTGATTTTGTCCGGGGCTGGGGATTCCATTTTTATTTGCTTTCTCTAATGCAAAAAGCAAACCTTCCTGCATGTGATAAAATGCCAAGTGGTAAACCAGACCCTCCCGATACTTCATGGCATGCAGGGCGCTTTCCCAAAGGCCCTGAACCTGCCTGCAGTTCAAATCGATGCCCTCTAGGATCTGTTTACACCTCTTCTGCAAAGACTGCTCTCTCAACAACGGAGAAAGGAGGACATGTTGAGTGTGCCTATACTCAGAGGTCACATACAGGACTGGTTGAAGAAGAATGAGGAATCGGACCTCTTGAAGCTGGAGACAAAGGCAAGCGAAATATCCATGGTGGAGTTCGTTCTGCAGTGTCCAGTACCGCAGCAAATGCCGTTTTTGCATTGAAATCAAAAATTAAGATGGGATGCGCTCCGCTGACGTCCACCGCGCAGAGGCTGCTTCTCTTGTCCTGGGTGGTTATTGCCAGAAGGATGCAGCAGCAGCGGCTCCACCTCCACCTTGAGAGGACGTTTCCTCACACCAGGAAGAGAAGCCGCTCTTGAGCCTGCGTTTTCATCCAATCTGGCAAAGCCAGGGGAGGGAGACGACCATTTCTGAACGGGCGTCAGTCATCTTAACTCTCCTGCAAGGCATTTCTTGTTGACCCTTCTCCCTAATTAAGAAGGGGAGACGCGTTTTAATCTTGACAATCAAGCTGTGGTTGATTAAACAGAGCAGTTAATCAATTCGCGTTTCCAGGCCATTTTTCTTCTGCTTGGGCCTTGACTTTTCCACACTTACTCCAGAAATGCGGGACTCTTGGAAACCGGACTGGGCAGCTCCGGTCTGGACTGCCTTCCCAAGAGGCGAATCGCATCCAGCATCCCAAATAGCTCTGCATCCGAATGAGGCCGGTTGAGTCTGCAAAGAGCCGTGGCTGCCATGGGCAGTGCCCGAAGACGGCTTCCAACTCATGCCCAGAGTCAGGACAGGTCCAGGACACCTCCTGGACTGTTTGGGAGGAGCCAAGCTGCAACAACGGCAGTGCGTTAGTCCCTCCGACTGTTAACTAGTGCAAGAGGAGGGGTGAAAACAAACCACCGCTAAAACGATCGAGAGCTCGTTTCTGCTCTGCTTCATTATCTACCCTAACCCTAACCCCAAAAAATCCCAGAATTAAAACAAATTCAGATCCAGAATGATTCAGCAGGAAACAGGAGTAGATGACTAGTTCCAATGTTTTAATTTCACTTCACTTACTAAAACCCACTTAATGATAACACCTGCAAAAAAGGAAGCATCTCAGCCTGATGCCTAAAGGACAGGGGGATATTCTCAAGGTTTTATTATGCAGCCACCTTGCTTCGCTTTCAGCATTATACAGGGAGTCTAGATGACAGGTCTCACACACCGGGAGATTCCAGTGCCTGCTTGGCTAGTTGGGTCTTGGCCTGTCAAACCGGCAGGTGTCCGCCATGATGCTGAAGAGCAGCCGTTGACACTGGCGGTATGCAAGTAGACCCACTGAGGCACTGGGACCATTGACAATGTCTTGCCCAAGGGTTCCCCCCAAAAAATCTAGAGCTGACGCTGTCGAGAGCTTGACTTTCAAAAAGGAAGAAGGTGAAGTCAAGGAAATTACGGTCATGTTAACTTGACTTCTTTATCTGGAGAGATATTAGAACACATGCAAAAACAATTAACTGTGAAGTGCCCCGTGGGAAATTAAGTGATTAAAGGCTGCCAACGTGATTTTATTAGGAACTAATCAATGCTACACCAGCCTAGTTTCCTCCTTTGATAAAGTAATTGGTTCAATAGACGAGGGAAAACCAGTTGATGGAAATAGTGGTAGTTCAGCAGAGCTGTTCTCCTGTGATAGACTCAAAAAGAGGACGGAGTGATGCAGAGCTGCAGAGGTGCAAGGTGGTGTGCATCCGCTGGCACAGCGATTCTGAGAGAGCAAAAGTCACGGGTCCACGCGGCAGAGCAGCCTCCTGTACCCTGGCGCCCTTCCTGATGTGCTCGACTTACGATTCCCAGCATCCTTCAGCCAGCATGTCTGGCTTGGGGATGCTGGGTGTTGTATCCAGTACATCTGGAGGGTGGCCTGTTGGGAGAGTCTGCAATAGAAGAGATCTTTAAATATGGCATGGGGATCATGGTTATGGTTCCAGTCGCCCAGCATCTTGACTGGAGAGTTTTGGCTCTTAGCTTAGGGCCACGTTATGACTTTCATACCTGGTTGCAGTTTCTGAATCCTCTGAATTATTATTTATTAGGTACACATCTCATAAGATCACCAAATGTAAGGATGGAGACCAAAGTTGTCCCCATTTTTTTCCTGATCTCAATGATGGGATGTGAAAGCTGGACAGTGAAGGAAGCTGGCAGGAAGAAAATCGATACATTCCAAATAGGGTACTGGAGGAGAGCTTTCCAAATTCAAGGGCCCAATCCAAGGTGTTGGTAATGACCTATAAAGCCCTAAACGGCTTGGGTCCTGGTTACCTGAAGGAGCGCTTACATCCATATATGCCCAGCCGCCCCTTGAGATCAGCGGGAGAGCCCTCCTCCGGGAACCCTCCGTGAAAGAAATTAGGAGGGTGGCTACTCGGAGGAGGGCTTTCTCTGCAGTGGCGCCTAAGTTATGGAATGCGCTCCCCAGAGAGGTCCGCCTGGCACCGTCGTTATTTGCTTTTCGGCACCAGGCGAAGGCCTTTTTATTTAAGCGGCATTTTAACTGTTAGTATTATTTGATCTTATCTGGCCAGGGCGGCTTATTTTATATTGTATTTTTTGGATTTTTAATGTTTATATTTATTGTAATTTATTGTTGTAAGCCGCCCCAAGGCTTCGGCGAATGGGGCGGCATAAAAATGTTTTAATAAATAAATCCCTGGGCTGAACGGAAAATGAACAAAGGGGTCCTAGATTGAATCAAGCCAGAACTTGCCCTGGAAGCCAAAGTGGCAAAACCAGCTGTTGGGGTTCAGGCATAGCAGGAGAAGGAAAGATTCTCTGCAGAGCACCACCATGCTAGGGGAAGTTGAAGGCGGAAGAAGACAACCAACGACAAGGTGGCTCAGTTCCCTCAAGGAGGCCACAGCCTTGCGCTTGCAAGGGCTGAGCAGGGCTGTGGAGGATGGGATGCTTCGGAGGGCCTCCATGCATGGGGTCTTCATGAGTTGGAGAGGGCTCAGCAGCCCGTCACAACACCGCCATCCATCTCTTTGCTATTTCACTTGGGCAAAGATTCAGGCCAGTTTCGCTGGGCCACAGTGGCTCACTACAATCTAGGAACTCGGGCTGGTTCGTTCGCACTGGGGCAACACGCATCACACGCAACAGGACCAGCAGCAGCCGAGTCCCTCAGTCCAGTTCCGTGCTCGCCTCCCCAGCCTGGTACCCTCCAGGAGCGGCACACTGCAACCCACATGATCTCCAGCCCGTCTTGGATCCACCCTGCAGGCACCGGCTGGGGTAAGCCTGCGCTTCAGTCTTCACGAGATCCCATCTGTCCACCGCTCCCATTCGATTGCTCTGCTGCTTCGCCCTCAGACCTGCCCGGAATACGTTCAAGAGTGCAGCCCGCGAAACACAGCATGTCTTCCAACAGCCGTATTCTGTGGAATCCAGGACTAATTTTTATTTCTGTTTATAGCTATTTCTCTCCTTGAGGAAGCATGCCCTCGAGCTGATTTTCAAGATTAAAACCTTCAGGGCAAATAAATTAAGCTCTGAAGCAAGAGGGCACTAAAATCA